TTTTTTCTGGTATGGTAAAATGTTCACACATAAGAACGAGTTATACAAGAATGTACATACAAAATCTTAAATAAACTAATTCATAAATTATATAACTTAAAATTTTCTCCTCTTCGACATAATATGATTTTGTAACATAATAATATAAAGCTATTTTAAATTATTTATTCATAAACATTGTATACAATCTAAATAAAAACTCGCGCTTTTAAAGTGCACGTCAAAATCTCGTATGAGTCGTTTCTTATAGATTAAAACAGAAGTTAAAAACATTTTTCATGTGTGATGTTTTTAGTTGGACCATCTCCTATAAATTTTATTAAGTGCATTTTATTAAAACTAATAATATATAGAATCTTTAACATACTTTAATCATAATATATTTTGATACCTTTTCGTTTTAAATATAAATATATTCATTTTAAAATTCTAACAAATCCGTTTTAAAAGATTTTTACAAGATCTTCCTTTTTGATATTATACTTAAATATTTTCACTAATTTTGATATTTAGTTTGAAATGATATTATTCATTAATATATTCAGTTGAAATTTATAAAACGAAAAATAAAAAATATATCATATTTTATCTATTATATAATCATAATCAATCATATTAAAAATATTATATTGAGCTAAATATAATAAAATTGTATTAAATTGATTAATTTATATATTTTATTTTCGTAACTATAAAATATTGATGTTCACAAATAAAATCTAATATGTTGGTAAGATAGGTTAACATTAGAAAACTATATAATACATGTATATACATTATCATGTATTTCATTAAAGCTAATAATATAAAATCTTTGTAGTTATTTTAATCATGATATCTTTTCATTTTAAAGATAAATATATTTTTTATATTAAAATTAAAAATTATAATAAATATGTGTAAAACTAGTATTACAAGAATTTAATGTAATTTAAGTTTTATAAAATATTTTTTTAATTATATCATATTTTATTTACTTTAGTCATAATCATCATGTTAAAAGAGAATTATTATCTGAACTAAATATGATAAAAGTATATTATATTTATAAATTTATAAATGTAATTTTTATAAATATAAACTTTTTATTGTAAAAATATAATATGATGACAGAACAGCTTAAAATTAGTAAATTATATAATATATGTCTAAATATTAACGTATCTTAGACTTTTGTATATACAATAATAATTATCTAAAATGAATAAACATAAAAACATTGGTAAAAAAATCCAGCTTTGAAGGACGGGTCAGAATTTACCATAAATTAAATAAAAATAATTTTCAAATACGTTTTTAAGAGTATATTAATTTGCTTAATAACTAAATGTAAATACAATAAGATAAATATATAATAAAATTGACAAATACATATGGCTTTAAACAATTGATTAATATAACATGTAAATTATAAAATTATTGTATTTGAAATAGTTATATAAACATTTATGTATATGATTAACGTTAAAAATATATACCACTTATATTCTAAAACAATTATTTATGTATATAAATGTAAAAACAAACACACGTGCAATTGCGTGTTCAATTAAAATAAAGTCACTATTTTTATCTACTATAAAGAAGTTTTGGTAGGACCATTTCATTACTAATTAACGTTCTAAAAATATTCCTCCCATTGTTTTAGGTATTCATTTAAGTATCCTATGCTTTTTGAATTTAAATACTATAGTAAATAGGTTAATCTATTTATGTGGTTTAGTTTGCTTAGTACAATGTTTTATTATAAAGTTTGGGATAAATATATATTTAGTTGATTAGAAAAACATAATTAACATATCTTATAGTATAGTTGTGGATTTTAACATATTAAATGAAGTAACTATTATAAGCATATATATATATATATATATATATATATATATATATATATATATATATATATATATATATATATATATATATATATATATTCTATTAAAACAGAAGTACCAAACAATACTAGCATATTTTTAAGTGATTTTTTCCAGAATTTTTTTCATTTTTAATTAATTTTAATTACTTCATTTATTGTCTTTTCTAAATATTCACTTCATTTATTATCTTTTCTAAATAATTACTTCATTTATTGTTTTTTTCTAATTAATCACTTCATCTGTTATGTTTTCTAAATAATCACTTCATTATTTTAGTCACTTCATTTATTGTCTTACCGGAATATGTAGTCTGTATGGATTCGATTCTGATGTATGAAAATTTTATAATATCCAAAACCCTAATGTATCTGAAACATGTTCGGGTATTTGTACTGAAAATAACCATATTAACCGATTCAAAATCGGGTATTTTGGATACAAACTAAAAATAACCAAATAACTAAAAGTAACCATGTTACTTGATTTGATTCGGGTTTAGTTCTAATGTATAGAACTTAAAATAATCAATTATTTCTATGATGACAGATATAAAATATATAACTTTATTTATGAAAAAAAACTAAATACTAGTTTAGAAAAATGTAAAATTTAACACCCGCACGAGTGTGCGGTCAATCTCTAGTAGTCTTTATAAATGAAGTACATCCATAAATTTCATTCATATTAAGTATATTTCATAATACCAATGTTTAAATATTATTGTGCGTTATTATTTATGTGAATAAAATAAATTTTATAAAAAGAAATGATGTAATATTTGTAACAAATTGTGGAATTAAAAATATGTTATTGTCATATGTCTTGTTATATAGATTAATGATACCAAAACATATCCAATATTGATTTTTACTAATATATTTTCCAATAACAAATTATACAACAAATTTAATAAATATATTACAATAAAAATCCTATATTTCAAACACCAAAATTAATTTATGGTTTTTATATTACACAATAAATTTTCTACATATAATATTATGTAATTAATTATATGATAGAACATATAAAATACGTTTACCTATTTTGATTAATATATATGATAGCATGTCTAAAATATGATTAATTATATAATGATACATATATAATAATATAATAGTGAATAATATCATATTCTTATAGAAAATACATCTGTATATCCGCCGATCAAGCTCTAGTTTAATATTATATGTAAAAGGTGGTCTAAACTAAAAAATCTCACATGAAAAAGTAATAATTTCTGTTTTAATAAAGTATACTAGATTCTGATCCGACCGAGTCAAACATAATGGCTGATCCACAAATCAATACATCAACCTTAATTTCTCTTTGTTCTTTTCTTCTTGTGAATCTACCTGTGCATGGTGGTCAGAAATTATGATGGTAAAACAGAAGAACAAGATGGAGAAGATGACGGCGGCTTGAGAACCTAAATTCAAATTTGATGAATTTCAATATTAATCACAAATGACTAAAGTTAGATTAATTTAAATATCAGTCATCACATAAAATTGTATATGAAATCTGTTTAATATTTAGTCACAAAATATTTAATAGATATAAATCTAAAATATGTCATGGTAAATTTCAAATAGAACCCTAAATTAATAGATTAGATTTTTTAATTGTAATAGCAAATGTGTAAATAATAAATATGATAAAACCCTCATCTGACATAGCATCTAAAATCAAAGTTGCCAATTTTACTAATTAAAACTTGGCGTACCTTACTTTGTAATTACAAATTTAAAAATTGCACAATTTTTCAACTTGCTCTTAATTTTATTTAGAATAGTTAAGAATCCCTCTTCAATCATTTAGTGGTGGTCATTCGGATATACATTTGGTATCGGTGTAGATCTATTTGTGTTTCAGAATTTTTGGGGAAGATTTCAGACACTTTCATGTATTTATAAATTTTCATTCAGATTTTTTCGGGTTTGACTAATCCATTTAAATTATTTTCAAAATATTTAAAATTCATATATACTATAAATTTCGTAAAATCTAAATTAAAATAATATATAACATATAAATTTGAGTAATATATCCCAAAATACCTAAATTAATATAAAAATAAGTATGAGCTGAATATTGGGATGAAAAATCAGTATATATTTTAATTATTTTAGGTGTTTAGAGTCTCGTTTACCGCTTTTGATTATTTGCATATATTTTCAAATATTTTGGATAACTTCAAAATATCTTATAGGTTTTAGATATATTTTGAACATTAAATCTAAAAACACTAATATATTTAAGTATATAAATTTAATTTGGATACTTGAGGATGCGGATTTGATTCAGTTATGATTCTCTAGATACCAAAATATTATTGCTGTAGGTTGTGGAATGTACTCCCTCACCAAGCCCGTACAACAACGAACTCAGCCCAAGCGAGTTCGGACCCAACAGAAGAGCCCTCTGATAATCAGCAGTAAATTGAGCTTAGCTCGGCTAACCTCCGTGATTAACCGAGTTAAGAGCGTTTAGTCAAAGAACTTGAATTAGCGGGGCGACTAAGGCCCATTTGGCGAAAGCCCGCGAGAGTTACGATGAGCCCGCTAGGTCAAGGCGTAACTACTATTAAAGAAAGAGATGAGCTGACGAGAAAGAGATCCGGAATCACACTCACTCTCAAGGCGGCTAGAACTAGGGTTTTCATTCCTCTGTTTCTTTTTCGACTTGTATGGCACGGTCGAGCTCTCCGCGAGACTCCGCCTCGCCTCTTATTTCTCTATTTGTAAACCGAACTCTCTTATTAATAAGAACACATCTTTGACTCTAAATAGTAAACAAACGCCTTTAATCCACCAACGAGTCTTGTCACTCATTCACTGAACAGACCGAACTCGGTACAAACAATTGCACGGTTCAACTTCCAATATTTAACCAGTTTTAATTCGGATTTACTAGTACTTTTTAGATTGAATTCGGTATGATTTTTTTGGTTCTGATTCTTTTTTTTTCCCAGCTCTAGAATCAGTTATATGCGGTGGTGAGGTGTCAACGTTTGAAAGATAAGTGAAGCTGATGTGGGGCATCTAGAATTGAACCAACTATACAAATTTTAGTATGTTTGGTAGAATTTATTCTTCATCAACCTCCATAGCTGTCTTGTTTTATCTTCTAAGCTTGTTTGCATTCTACTTTAACCAAAAGAAATATATTTTCTTTCTGATCATCTTCTTTTTCCTAAGCAGATGACAATCATAGAGAAGAGTAAGAGAGGTGTGAAGTACTTCGTGGTAATGAATGATCTTCTCTCTTCTAAGTAAGTTCTTGTGTTTGTTTCTAAGTTCATCAACTAATGAGTTTGGTGTTTGATAAGGTGGATGCTTTCACTGACTCTGCTTTCAAAGGGAACCCTGCAGCCGTTTGCTTCCTCAACGACGAGAGAGACGACGCGTGGCTTCAGTCTCTCGCCGCCGAATTCAACATCTCCCAAACTAGTTTCCTTACTCCCCTCACTGGTTTCGAAGCTCGCTTCAGTCTCCGTTGGTTCACCCCTGTAGCGGAGGTTTTTTTTTACTTACTTTCTCTTATTATCTCGTTTTCTATGTTCTAAAAGCTATTAGTTCATTTACTTGTTAGGTGGATCTCTGTGGACATGCTACTTTGGCATCTGCTCATTGTCTCTTCTCCAATGGTTTGGTTGATTCAGACAATATCGAGTTTGTCACAAAGTCAGGGATTCTTACAGCCAAGCGAGTCTTAGATACTTCAGAGCTCAATGATGAAGGATCCTTTTTGATTGAGTTGAACTTCCCCGTGATTCCAACTTGTGATATCAATCTCAGTGATGCCTCCTCTTCCATGATCAGCAAGGCCTTGAGTGGAGCTACCATTCTTGATATTAAAGCTACTGCCACCAACAACATCCTAGTAATTTGGTTCCTGTTCAAATTATATGTCTTTTTTGTTTCTTAACATAATATTTGACTCTCTTATGCACTTGGGTTTGCAAGGTTGTGCTTCCATCTTTGGAATCTGTCACTGAGTTGCAACCAAGAATGGATGATATATTGAAATGCCCTTGCGATGGCATCATCGTGACAGCTGCAGGTTCGGCCTATGATTTTCACAGTCGTTACTTTGCTCCTAAACTTGGAGTTGATGAGGTAAAAGAGTAGCTGCTTCTTAGGAATCAACTAAACAACATTTCTTCTACCTGCCTCTACTGTGTTTATGCTTATTGTAGATTCATGTGTTTCATTATCATCTCTTCAGGACCCTGTTTGTGGAAGTGCACATTGTGCATTGGCACATTACTGGAGCCTCAAGATGAACAAATGTGACTTCTTAGCCCACCAAGTAATCTCTCTACTCTCTTTCCTTTTTTTCCAACTACTGTCTTAGAGAACTGATAATGATTTATTTATTTTTGGGATATCTGGTTAGGCTTCACGTAGGAGTGGAACTCTTAAGATTCATTTTGACAAGGAGAAACAGAGGGTTCTCTTGAGAGGCAAAGCCGTCACTGTAATGGAAGGCCATGTCTTGGTCTAATGTTGAGATCATGTATTGTTACAAAAACAAGGTCCTCCCATTATTTAATGAATAATGACAGAAAATCATTGATATAAAATGTTTATGTTTCCTGACCATATGCGTTTCATTTTGCATCAACTTTTCTCTGTGTGGGGCTAGTGACAATTATTTGTTTGGGACCTTTCTTTTTGGTGGTAAGTAAAACAGATCTTTTTTTATTTGATAGAACAGAACACGTCTTTAATTACTATCAGTATTCAATGTGCTTCAAAAACTCGTCTAATAAGTATTCATTTTGATGAACGTAAGCCATGAATCTTATTGTATCTTTTGTTGCATTTCGTTTACTCATTCATACTGGAGTCTCAACGAGAACAGGTGTGACTGTGTCCTCTTGCTCTCAGTCCTCACTCAGGAACAGAGATTATGAACCTATCTGTAATGCTACTTCAACCTTAAAAAAAAAATACCAATAGGTTTGTATATATTTTTTTTTGAGTTTAGAGAAAAATCTTATAGGGTCCAATGGTCCAGGTGAGTAACAGATCGCTAGTGCACTACATACAGACAAGAGATTTACTATTTGATGATTGCAGTCAAAGAATATATGTATGGCTAATATTCTTTTATTAGACACAACGTGGAACACGTTATTTTCTATATTTTTCTGAATATAATAAATCCAAGTCGAGAGATGCAGATTTCAAACAGAAGAAGAGGCGTGAATTGCGCATGATCATGAAGAAGCCTCTAAAAACTTCTACATGGTAACTTTTTTTGTTTTGTTTTGTTTCTGACAATGTACTTGTTGTAACTTCATTTACTTCTTCTTTGATCTAAGACTTATGATCAATGAATTGTTGTTGATATTTACAGGTTGATGCATTCACTGACTCAGCCTTCAAGGGAAACCCAGCAGTAGTATGCATTCTTGATAAGAAGAATGAAAGAGACGACTATTGGCTTCAGTCTCTTGCTGCTGAATTCAACATTCCCTTGACTTGTTTTGTTGTTCCCATCACTGGCTGTCATCCACCACACTTCTTGCTCCGGTGGTTCACTCCAACCACAGAGGTTTTTACTGCGCTTTTTGCCTATTACAAGATATAATCATCCAAAAGCAATTCAAATGTCAAAAAGAGCTTGTTTATTATTTCTTGCAGGTGGATCTCTGTGCTCATGCAACCTTAGCATCTGCACACACTCTCTTCTCAAACGGTTTAGTTGGTTCAGACACAGTTGAGTTTGTCACCCGCTCGGGGATACTAACCGCTAAAAAGGTTTCAGAAACTCTCAACTTCTTTGACTTCCAAGAGAAAGGATCCTCCTTCTTGATCGAATTGGATTTTCCTGTGATTCCTACTTATGATTACAACTCCAATGATAAGCTCATGTTTTCCAAAGCCTTCAATGAAGCTACCATTGTTGATATCCGAGGAACCACAACTGATAAAATCATCTCCAAAGCTTTCAATGGAGCTTCCAAAGCATCTTCAACTGATAAAATCATCGTATGTGTTTGCTCCTAACCTTTCTATGTATCTGTTTTTCATGCGTGCTCTCATATCCATCTGCTTTTTTTTTTTCAGGTTGTGCTTCAAACTTGGGAATCTGTAACTGAACTGCAGCCAAGAATGGCTGATATATTGAAATGCCCTGGAAAAATCATAATTGTTACAGCTGCTGCTCCTGATGGATCTGTATATGATTTCTGTAGTAGGATCTTTGCTCCCAAACTAGGAGTTGATGAGGTTGTTTTAACAATCTAGCCTGCTTTCTCATTTTAATGGGCAGAAGCAGCCATCCCATGATCAACCTTATCTCTTTTTTCTTGGTTATTTCTTAACTTCAGGATGCCGTCTGTGGAAGTGCACATTGTGCATTAGCTCATTATTGGAGCAACAAGATGAACAAAACTGAGTTTGTCGCTTACGCTGTAACTCCTCTATCCCTCTATCTAAAAAGCTTATTATCGTATTTTGAAGCTAAGGACAAAGCCTTTGCACTACTGGTTTTCTAGGCTTCGCGTAGGAGTGGAACAGTGCAGGTTCATTATGATAAGGAGAAGCAGAGAGTCTTGCTCACTGGCAAAGCTGTGACTGTGATAAAAGGCTGTGTCATAGTTTAATCCTGGCATGGGGAGGCAAGCAAAAGTTTTTTAACTTCTCAATAAATTGGTGTATGATCACCTTCTACATAGTAAACAAATAGGTTTGACATGGAATGTATTCTGGCTTCCTGTTGGACTGATGAACGTATATCTCTATTCCTCATTAGTCAACAATCCTAATAAATTGCATTTTTTCATACGAATTTTTTAGTTTTTAGTAGTGGTTTCACCTTTGACTATCCCTGCTGACTCAAAAGTTACAGAAACTTCTTTTTGGTAGGTGGAGATTTGTGGTCATGCCATTATTGGACCCTAAATTATTTTGGAGTTGTTTACAGCATGGACCACATTTTGTCTTTGTCTTACATTCAAAGTTACATTGTACATTAGAGACATTTTCCTTTGGTCCAAGAAAAAAATCGGACAATACTATTCTTAGCGAAAACTGAGATATTGTTTTGCTTTCCAAAGAGAAATTGATTCGGTTAATGAGCTCGATTATGTTTTTCCCAGGAGGCATTAATTGGTTAAACTTATTGATTCAAGTGTTTTATTTTTCATCGTCCACAGTGTGTTCTTTTATATTGAACCATCTCTTTAGTCTTCTTATCCACGACATTAACATAGCCATCTCCACTGTTATATCTCCTGTACACAAATCCTCTGTCCACAACTCCTTTCATACCCCTGTCCACAACTTCTCTTTCATACCTCATCCATCCACAACTCCTCTTTTCACACGTTATCCATTCATAACTCTCCTATCCACAACCATGACATCAACAAACAACTATCCTTTGAGCTCTCATCCACCCCCAATTAGCTCCACTGCAACTTTAATTTCGCCGATAGAAACCCTAGAAATCATACCCATCCACCATAGTCACCGGCCAAGAAAGGACTCCAAATTCAAGAGGAGAATAAGAGAAGAGTTACCACCATCCCCTTAGCCTCATCCGCCATCACCAAAATTCCTCTCAACAGTTGTAGCAGAAACCCTAGATTCTGATAGATGATTTGTAGCATCTCCAGCGCGTCTCCGTCGTTCTCTAACTCATCTCGCTACCGTCCACACCAACGAACCACCATAACCCATAATCCCCTGTGGAGGTCCACCACAAATAAACCTAAACAACAAGCGGTGAAGATGAGAGACAGATTAATGGCATGGCGTCGAGCTCCGGGTGAACCGGAGGCCCTCCCCTCGAACATGAAAACTAGATACAGTAACGGAGGCGAAATTGCAGAGGAGGAACTCGAATAACTCATCTTCTAATGCTTCTTCAAGATTTTGTCTGAGCTTTGGATTCATGGAGTCTCCAATAAAGTGAAAGAACGAGAGAGAAAGATTGAGAGAGGAGAATATCCTCGTTTGGTTTGGAAAAAAGTCTATAATTGATTTAGTTTAAGGGTATAAGAGACAAATCACATAAAATATGTGTGTCACATGTGGAATGTGCCTTTAGTTGTAAATACAAACTCAAAATGTGACTGTAGATATAAAAAAATCATTATTTTTTTAATGGTGAAAATTGGGAAGACAAAGTTGATGTCAACTAATGGTCCAATACTTTATGTACCACAGCTACTCATGTTTCTGTGCCGATCATTATTTTCATTTTATACAAATATTAGATTTACATGAATAAAGGTATATAGTTTTGATATTTACCATATTATTAATAGTTTAATATAATATTTTCAAACACAATAATTTTATAGTTTACATGCAATAATTTAATTTATTGTTTCTAATTATTAGTGATACATTTCTTATTAAAACATGAACACTAACTAAACCTTACATTATGTGACATTTACAACATTTTTTCAGTTTAATATTAACTTAGATATTAATTTCCTTAAAATTTTCTTTGTATTTTAAGTTTTGGTCATACATATATGTTTACCAAATGATTTGTATGAATTAAATCTTTGATTGAATAATATATTCCAAGTGTAATTTATAAAATGTCTGCTTCATTTAAATTATTAAACTGGAAATTGTAATACATTTTGTTAAGCCAATGTTCAAAAAATTGTAATACATTTTGTTTGTTTTTGTCCTTTTAAACCTAAATTTTCTGTTTATTATTTATGTTCTTGAGGCTTCTTATATTGTCTATTTCTTATTTATACTTTATTACCCCAATTTTTTTAAATTATTTACAATGAATTATTCAATATTAAAACTTTATTTGCAATTATTCATCTTTCATGCATCAAGTTATATAATTAACACTTAAACCTACAACTATATTTGATAATAAACACACCCAAATAAAAAAAATTCACATGAATGATATTTTTTTCAATCAATCATCTTTCCTTTTTGTTAATGACATTAGTTAGTACAATATCTATTGCACTTTCAAAATTACACACAACAAAAGAAACTAAAACAATTACATTAATGAATAATATATGAATATGGTATATATAAAAATGAGTTTGATTATCTTTTTTTTTTTTTAAAAAAAACAGTCATATACTTCTATTATTGAAATATATAATTAAACAAGTTACTATAGTTAATAACATAAACTAAATGCATTTTCAAACTTGCATTTTGTAGACCGATCATTCATATTGATAGCATATTTCAACAAGTATGGTACACAATTCTGAGTGAACAAATATTAGATTTTATAGTTCAAAGATTTAATTGAAAACTATTAGTTAAACTAATATCACAAATTCAATACATAATAATACATATGTTTAATATTATTACATAATTAAGTATATACTTAAAAGGTTTAGTTTAGTAAAAATAAAATATACATTTATATTTCAAATAATTTCAAAATTAGTTAAATATTGAAAAGGTTTGTTTAAGTGAAAAACGAAATATACATTCATATTTAAAAAATATATGTAAGTAATTACATATTTTTAAAATGTTTGTTTTAATGAAAAATGAAATACATATTTAACTTGTAAATAAAAAGATGTGAAAAGATTTTGTTTAGATTTAATTCCAACAAAACATAGGAATATCAATTTGATTTTTCTTAGAATAGTAAAAATATATCAAATATCCTTTTATATATTAACTAAGAAGTCACTTTAGTGATTTCTGCTAACGTGTCACTCATAGAAATTTTTTTTAATTAATTGTTATAACTTTATTGGTTGATTTTTATTTATTTAATTACATTTTTTAAAAGATAACTTATCATATAATTAACTAATCTAATATATGTTCCCAAACATACAATTAAGCATCTTACATATAGATGAATTAACATAATTTATTATAAATAAGAGTTATTTTGCTGATAATACAAGAAGTGAAAGATATTTAGGTTTCAAAGCGGTGAACTTTTTATTTGGGTATGGTGATAACTGCGTGGTGGGGAACTTACCACTTTGTCCCCTATGTCTAATATCCATCAAATCAGGTTGTGTCAGGGAAGTCAAATGAAAGGGACGTTTTGTCTTCAAATGTTCTACTTGCTGTGTTAGAGCATTGACGATACAATGGCGCGTGCACTTCATATTTTTTTTGTTGTAAATGATAAAATAATAAAAAAAATATTTATAGTTATGAGTGATTTTGCCCAATACCCTCATTTGGGACCATAATTAGTAGACTACCCATGCTATGACATAAAGACAAAACATAGTAGCTTTTATGATTTGAATGGACAAAATTACCCTTACTTCGTTATACAAAATTTGTTAGCGAATTAACATATTTTTAACATGATATAAAAATTGTTAGCAAATTAACAAAATTTTAACATGGTACAAATTTTGTTATCAGGTTACGTCTATTTATTAACGTGTTAAACAAATCGCTAACAAAACAAGTTAGAGTGTTAACAATACTAGTATCATAAAAATACATATATTAACCGCTAATCAATTATCTATCAAATAGCCGTAAACCTATTTGTAACCGCTAATACTCTATGTATCAGTTACAAATTCATAAAAATATAATAATAACGGGTAAATAATGAAATAGCTGTTAACTTACTTATTATCTAAATAAAAGAATGTATATTTCAAAGATTTGAAATTGAAAATAATAGAATCAATGTGAGATAATAATATTAGCAATATGAGTGTCAAAAGAATCAGAGTAAAAAATAGAGATTTATGATGAAAAAATGAAAGCATAAATATGACATGTGTGAGAGATAAATAGATTAGAAGATAGGAGAGATGAGAGAGAGAAAATGAGATAGGGGTATAATGGTCAGACGAAATAGTTTCTATTTTGAAAGGGTATATAGCAAATATGATGTATATTTATGGGTATTCCCACCAATTTCTGTATAGTTATTGTTCTTTATGAAAAAAGGAAAGAAACCAAGAAACCATAATCTGTAAGACTGCCAATACACAATTGAAGATTATGTAATTAACTAATCATACTCGGTTGGATGAAAGTTTTGAAATGTTAAGTATTAACATAAGAAAAAACTTTAAAATTTACAAGATGCTGTTGATTTCTGTTGGAGTACCCTGGTTAACATTTTACTTCTCAACATCTGATTCAAGTGTTTTAGGATGATCGGTATCACGTTGTAAATGCGTTTTCTTCTTTATAACAACATAGTTGAAAAGATTTTCCTCACCTATTCTCATACTATTTGATTAAGATTGGTCACTTCTTCTTAAATGTTAATGAACATAAAGTACAGAAAAGAGAAATAATATTTTATCAGTACCATTTATATATTACAAATGAAGACAGCTGCAACATTAGAACATTAATCAAGCAAAACAAGTTGATTTGATTGTTATTATTAAGAAAAAGACTACACAACACGAGTTAAAACTAGAATCTGAAAAAGATATCTACTTTTTCAGGAAGTAAAATACTAAAGCAGTAGCCAAAGCAAACCCACCGCCAAATAAACAACCACATTACGTAGCATCGTTTGTGTCTGTTTAATATGTTCGGTACCGCGATCTTTGATGGACCTCAAACTTTCATTGATTGAACCAGAGGAACAAGCAACCTCTAATGCAGAAATCTGAGCATTGGCTTGACGGAGAGCGGCACACAAAGCCTTGATTTCTTCAGACTGAGTAAGGATCTTGTCCCTCGCCTCCAAAAGACTGTTCTTCTGCGAACAACACGATCTCTCCTTGTCGTGCCAAACCACAAAGCCATGATCTTCGCACTTGTAATATCTCCTTCCAGGATTGACATCGCTCCAAGATATCGCGAGCTCGAACGGCTGTGAACAGTCACATGGCAAACCTTTGGAGTTAGGAATAGAACCAATAGATGATGACGAATTTTGACTCAACGTCATTGTTGTTTCCTGTAAAGAAGCAGAAGATGCGAAGAGGAAGAGCATCGTTTTTAGACCATGATTATCCTAGCACTCAATTAAGAAGTGCTTAGGAATATAATATTAGTATTTACGGATTTTTTTGGGGTAAGCAACTTGTCTAAGCACTTTGTTAATTGTCCTCTTCCATTGCAAGGTTCTTAATTTATGGTTCTTAATTTTTTTTGCCTCTTTTTATTAAGTCTAAATTTATTTATTAAATAAAATATATTACATGATAACATTTAAAACATAAAATTGAAAAGAAAACATAAAAACAAAGATTCATAAAATAAACGAGAATTATTTGAAAGAAGCATTGGAGATCAGTTGTTGCTCCCATCACGTCTAAATTTGTGCCATACATGTTCAAACAAATCATGTTTGAGTTGTTCATGCATTCGTTTATCACGAATTTTTGTTCGAGTGGCCATCATATTTCCGATATTAGTTGGGATATCGTTAGAATATTTTAGATCGACATGTGATGTTCTGGTGTCTTCTCCTTGTTAGAACTCTTCAACATCAAACTGAGTGTATCCATCTCGTTCGTCTTCGACTATCATACTATGAAGTATGATACATGCTCTCATAATCTTCCCAATTTTAGCTTTATCCCAAAACAGCGCGGGATTTTTAACAATGGCAAACCGAGCTTGCAAGACCCCAAAAGCACGTTCGACATCTTTTCGGACAGCTTCTTGACATTGAGCAAATAAAATTGCTTTCGGTTCTTGTGGTAGTGGAATAGATTGGACAACTGTTGCCCATTTCGGATAAATACCATCGGTGAGATAGTAAGCCATATGATACTCTCTTCCATTGACGAAGAAAGTCACTTGAGGAGCTTGACCTTTTATTATGTCATCAAAAACAGGTGAGCGATCAAGAACATTGATATCGTTTAAAGTACTTGGAGCTCCAAAAAACGCATGCCATATCCAGAGATCATACGAAGCAACCGCCTTTAAAACGATCGTCGGTTTACCCAAACCGCGACTATATTGCCCTTTCCAAGTGGTGGGACAATTCTTCCATTCCCAATGCATACAATCGATGCTTCCTATTATTCCGGGAAATCCACGACGCACTCCAATATCAAGTAGACGTTGAAGGTCAGCCGGTGTTGGTCTTCTTAGGTACTCATCACCGAATAAAGCTACTACGCCTTCCACAAATTTTTCTAGACATAACCGAGTTGTTGAGTCACCGAGCCGGAGGTACTCGTCGAACGCATCAGCTGCTGAATCATATGCCAAAACACGAATGGCCGCAGTATACTTTTGAAGGGGAGAGAGACTGTTCCTTCCGAGACCATCTGTCGTTTGCCGAAAGTATTGAACTTCCCTGGAAAGTTGATCAACGATGCGCATAAACAACGGCTTCTTCATTCTAAAACGTCGTCGGAATAAATTTTCAGGATACGTCGGAGTTTCACTGAAATAATCATTCCACATTTGGATGTGGCCTTGTTCACGGTTTCTTTCGATATAAGCTCGTGGTCTTCTTTCTCTCCTTGGTTCTTCTTGATGACCAGCACCTAAATTCTCTAAGGTTTGATCCATGAGTTGATCAAAATGTTGATCAATATATTGATCGAAAAATTGGTTATCATCAGATTCTTCGAAATTGTTTTGCGAGGATGATGACATTATTTTAGAGGTTTGGATAGTGGTTTGGATTGTATTTAGAAAAAGAAACAGGTTTGGATTGTGGTTTGGATAGAAAAAGAAACAGGTTTGGATTGTGGTTTGGATGGAAAAAGAAACAGGTTTGGATTGTGGTTTAGATCGAAGAAAACAGGTTTGGATTGTGGTTTAGATCATATTTAGAATAATTGAGACTGGTTTGGACTGTATCTAGAAAAAGATAGAGGTTTGGATTGTGGTCTGGTAAGCAAAAAGAAACGAGAGAGATGATAGTTGTTCCTGCCTTTTACAATCTTGACACTGAACAAAACACATAAATATATAGACTTGTTGATTGCCTTTTACAATATTGAGTCCGTGAAACAAAGATTTGACAATAATATAGACAACACATTGCTCAGTCCGTGAAATACTACACTCTATGACAACACATTGCTCAGTCCGTGAAAGACCAAAACTGACAATACACATGCTCATCTGACCAGAAAAACAAAACACATGCTAAGCTAAGCCTAAGCTCACGGACGAACAAAACAAAATCACTACCACAAACCAAACTAAACCTAAGCTTCATGCTGTCAACGCTTCTCTTCAAGCTGTCATGACAACCAAACTAAGCTTCATGCTGTTGCTCAATAAGGTAACGGGGACACTCACTACTATCAGTGCCACATTTTGGATTTGTTTAAAACGAAACACGTTACGTGGCTTTGATGGTAGTGAGTGGTCCCATTACCATATCAGAAAGAAGACACACAGCTACACTGTCCTCCTTGTTTGACCATATCACTCTGCCTCACCTGAAAAAGACACACAGAAACATGAATATTAATTAGATTTAAGGAAGTATATTTAGATTAAGATAACTGATCATTAACTAAACTTGCAACGTGGAAACAAATTACATGATCGAAAGACAAACAGAAACAGAACACAAAGTACAAAGTACTTGAAACTTGAAAAATTCTAGAACTGACCATTAATTAACATTTGTTCATGGTCAAGGAGTGGCTCTGTTTTAGCCAGAAGCCGATCAAGTAAACCTAACTTCGACAGCGTTTCTTTCATACCAAAGTCCTCGTTTTTTATGGACCAGATACGCTCAATCCGCTCAATATCCTCTAAACCCTTCCCCTCTTCCATTGCCTTCTTACCATGACGCTTGGCAGCCTTAACACCAGGAGGCCGCTCAACCGTTTCACCACTCACATTGTTAGTAGCGTGAGATGTCGAGGATTGAGCACCGTCGTTACCTCTTCTCTTTTTAGAGGTTTTAGTGGTTGACAGAGCACACCACTTCTGGTCATAGCGAAGCTCCCTCCAAGCATGTTCCAAAATGAATTGTTTTTTATAGATGTTAGAGTAAATAACGTGAGCTTTGGAGAGAATATCATTCTCATTTTTACCAGAAGTTTGCTCTCTTGTTGCGGCTTCATATGCTCCGCAGAACTTGCTGACAGCATCGTTGATCTTCTGCCACTGATTCTTGCAGTGCATTGGGCCTCTTATTACACCGTCTGCAACTTTTGGACTAGCAGCAAAATAGTCACCTATTCTCTGCCAGAAGTTAGCAGCCTTTTGCTCGTTTCCAACAACAGCATCCTTGCTGGTGTTTAGCCAGGAGCTGATGAGGACTACATCATCTGTTGGCGTCCAGGCCTTCCGTTCTTTACGCTCCACAGGATTGTCTTCTTCGAAATCTTAACCTTCTGTGGCTTCAGTGCCAAAAGAAACAGGAATAGGAGAAGATTCTAAACCTAGGCTACTATCTTGTTGACTTTGAAGAAGATCAACAAAATTTAGGAATGGGTTATTGGAAACCATTTTTAATATTTCTTAAGAGATGTTTGTAAACTCAGATGAGAAGAAGGCGAGTTTAATAGAGTAGATAAATAAGGAATAGGTATCGCATTCAACACTCACACAAGGAAATGGAATTGACGTTTATCTAACTCATTAAAAGAGTTGTTGATGTTTAAAAGAGTTGTTGTTTAAAAGATGTTTAAAAGAGTTGTTGAAGTTTAAAAGATTTGTTGTTATAGAGTTAATGCAAGAGAAGGCTCCTATCTAACTCACTTCAATTTATCACACAACACACAACCATAATTCAGGTCACTAATAAATATATTATCTCTAACACAACCGTAAAACTTTATTTTTTATAGCTAAGCATCACTTCTATTTATCATGACAGAACACACAACCATTGTGGGAACCGAAATCCACCTACTGTCAATAAATCGTAAAAAAGGAAACTTCGGGAAAACCCTAAGTTTCCAGAGGAACCGGCTATCTGCAGAACCGCAAAACAAAGATTAAGATAACAAGAAACTTAGAAACTTTAAATGAATAAACGAAAATCGAGAGAAAAGAGGTTCTTATTCCGAATCTGCGTAGAACTGGTATAAAGAGAGTAGCCGAAAACTTAAGGACGAAAAACCCTAATTGAGACGCAGCTCGCTAACAGAAAACAGAAATATTCCTAAATGCTAATTTTGGTGGTGAGAGCTCTGAAAATCGTGTCCCTTGATTCTGCCCTAGACCTCTTATTTATATACTTCTCGCCTTGGCCATTCGGTCTTTCCATTTCGCCCAGATTTGACTATATCGGGAACTTTCCATTTTTCTCGATCCTTCCTTTTCTTCCGCGGAAATCTTCTATTTTTCTTCAAACATTCCTTTTATCTTCAAACTTGACATTTATTTTCCTCCTGCGAGTAAACCGTCAAAACGTTATCGTATCTTCGGGTTAGATTCCGTTAAGATCGCGAGATGGGTTTTTATCGCGTTTTGGGACCTTCCGGGCCGTTCTGCGATAAATCCGTTTTCCGACTTTGTACGGGATCGTTTCCTGATCTAATGCCGTTTTTATTAAATTCCTTGAGCTAATCGCAAGGTTTTACGATTTACTCGACGTTTTTATTAAAAACGCGTTTTTACGATTTACTCGACGTTTTTATTAAAAATGCGTTTTTTATGATTTCAATAGAGAAATCTCGAATAAATCGTATAGTTTTAGGCAATGTTCGGTGTTTCGTTTAACCGTTGCCGTTTTATACGATTTCTTTGTCGAGAAAGCGAACTTTTACGGTTTTTATCGTAAAACTTGAACGATAGGTCGGATCGAGATGGAACGGGAGACGTTTCGGCCGTATTTCAGAATGTGACCGTGTTGAAAGACGTACGTTTCAAATCAGGAGTGCGGGAGATCAAGGCTCGGGACATCCAGGAAGTCTCTAGTTCGTCCAACGGCGAACTAAGCCGGGACGGGACTAGTTAGCCCACCGGCGAACTAAGCCGAGCTGGCTTAGTTCGCCCGTGGGCGAACTAGTCGGGATGGGACTAGTTCTCCCACCGGCAAACTAAGCCAGGCCGGCT